AGATATGCTGTGATAACAAACAACAAAATCTCTGTGACTTAAAACAGCAGTGGCTTACTTCTCACTCACAAAGTCAGTCACGTAACTTTCCTTGTTGACTTTCTTTCCTTTGGTAACTCAGGGATCTGGAGGCCTTCCATTTTGTGACTTTGCCATCTTCAGCATGTGGCCTCTGAGGTCATCACAGAAGCAAAACAGGATGTGTAGACAATCATGCATGGAATTTTATGGTCAGGTCTGAAAGTACATTCCCTCTGCCAACTCCCACTAGATAGAACCCTATCATGTGGCTATAGTCTAACTGCAAGAAAGGCTAAAAAAATACGTGTGCCCAGGAGGAAATGCTTCTACCACAAAATCTCTATAGTATGGTTTTATGCAAATATCTACCATTATTTCTGAACTAGGACTGCCAAAGGCGTGAAACGCTTATCTTTGCCTCTGTAATTTCAGCAGTTATCATGACTTTGTTTTTGTTTTTTTTTTGAGATGGAGTCTCACGGTGTGCCCAGGCTGGAGTGCAGTGGTGCGATCTCAGCTCACCGCAACCTCTGCCTCCCAGATTCAAACGATTCTTCTGCCTCAGCCTCCCGAGTAGTTGGAATTTTTTTTTTGGAATTTTTGCATTTCACCATGTTGGCCAGGCTGGTCTTGAACTCCTGACCTCAAGTGATCTACCCACCTAGGCCTCCCAAAGCGCTGGGATTACAGGCATGAGCCGCTGTGCCTGGCCATGACTTCTTTAAATGAACATTGAACTGTGATTTTGTTTTGTTCACATTGATAAATACTGAACAAACAACTGTGAGTCTGAGGTCATGTTCACTGACAATATGTAGACTGTAACTTTCTATATGGCCTGTTAAGTGCTGAATCATATACTTTCAACTCTTCAGCAGAGTAGAGGTAAGACTGATATTATCTTATGAAAGGTAAGGAGTTCAAGAGGTCAAATGACTAAATAGAAAGTCACTTCCCAACTCCACCTTGAAAATAAGCGAAAAGAGCACTTGGAAACAGCCCAAGAATCTTCTCAAAAAGTAATTTTGCTTTTGCTCCAACACAAAATGATCAAGCCAAAAAGTTCTAAATCAGCATTGTCCAATAGAAATAGAGAATGATGAGAGGCTGAGGTGGGAGGATTGCCTGAGCTTAGCAGATCGAGGCTGCAGTGAGCTATGATTGCGCCACTGCACGCCATCCTGGATGACACAGCAAGACCCCGTCTCCAAAGAAAAAACAAAAACAACAAAAAAAGAGAGCAACAGAGTGAGCCACATATGTAATTTTCTAGTAGCCACATTTTACTTTGTGTGTGTTTGTTCCTTTTTATTGTTGAGTTATAGTCCATTTGTATGGATATATAACAGGTTGTTCATCCATTCTCTAGTTGATGGACTTTTGAGTTATTTTCAGTTTTGGGTGATGATGGATAAAGCCCCTACAAACATTTGCATACAGGTTTTTTTCATGTTAATTTTTTTAATAATAAATTTTGGCTGTACAACTTAGGAACATACCACTGGGGAATTTTTCTCTGCTATTTTAAAAAATAACTTCAACTTTTATTTTAGATTTGGGAGTACAGGTGCAGGCTTCTCACATGGGTATATTGCATGATGCTGAGGTTTGGGGTAGATAGTGAGCATAGTATCCAATGGGTAGTTTTTCAGCCCTTGACTCCTGATATGGTTGAGCTGTGTCCCACCCAAATTTCATCTTGAACTGTAGTTCCCATAATCCCCACGTGTCATGGGAGGGACCCAGTAGGAGGTAATTTAATCATGGGGGCGCTTACTCTCATGCTGTCCTCATGATAGTGAGTGAGTTATCATGACATCTCATGGTTTTATAAGGGGCTTAAACCCTTTTGCTTGGCACTTCCCCTTGCTGCTGCCATGTGAAAAGAACATGTTTGCTTCCCCTTCTGCCAAGATTGTAAGTTTCCTGAGGCCTTCCCAGCTGTGCTGAACTGTGAGTTAATTAAACCTTTTCTCTTTATAAATTACTCATTCTCGGGTGTGTCTGTATCAGCAGCATGAGAACAGACTAATACACCCACTTCCTTCTTTCCTCCCTCTAGTAGTCCCCAGTGTCTATTGTTGCCACATTTATGTTCATATATACCCATAAGTAGTGGCTCTTACTTATATATGAGAACATGCGATATTTGAGTTTTTGTTCCTGTATTAATTCATTTAGGATAATGGCCTCCAGCTGCATCTATGTTGCTACAAAGGCCATGATTTCACTCTTTTTTATGGCTGTGTAGTATTCCATGGTGTATATGTACCACATTTTCTTTATTCACTCCACCTTTAATGGATACCTAGGTTGACCCCATGTCTTTGCTATTGTGAATAGTGCTGTGATGAACATATGAGTTAGTAGCCATATTTTTTGGTGGGGCATACAGGGTCTTGCTCTGTCGCCCAGGCTGGAGTGCAGTGGCGCAATCTCAGCTCATTGTAAGCTCCGCCTCCCGGGTTCACGCCATTCTCCTGCCTCAGCCTCCCGAGTAGCTGGGACTACAGGCACCTGCCACCACGCCCAGCTAATTTTTTCTGTTTTTTTAGCAGAGACGGGGTTTCACTGTGTTAGCCAGGATGGTCTCAATCTCCCGATTTCGTGATCCATCCGCCTCGGCCTCCCAATAGCCATATTTTTTAAAGTAAAAAGAAACAGGTGAAATCAACTTCAACATTATATTTTACTTAAGTCACTATATACTATTGTATTCATCGTCTATTTGCTGCTGTAACAAATTACTAACAGTATCTTAAAACAAACTTATTTATTTTGTTGATTTATTTGGGCTTTTTTATTTTAGTTTGTTGTTTTGGAGACAGGGTCTCACACTGTTGCCCAGGCTGGAGTGCAATGGCATGATCATGGCTCACTGCAGCCTCAATCTCCCAGGCTCAAGCGATCCTCCCGTCTCAAGCCTCCCAAGTATAGGCATGCGCCACCATGCCTGGC